AGAAGATCTTTTGGACAAGGTGAAGAAATTATTTGGTGAGCCCAGTGAGAAAAATGAAGATCTCAAAAATGAGGTCCGGGACAAGCTAGCAAACTACCACACCAAAGCTGATGATGCTCGAGATCTGCTAAGAGAAGCTATGACTAAAATTAGGGAGGCTGATCATTTATCTGCAGTCAACCAAAAAAATATGACCATGGTAGAGGTGAGCGCTGGCAAGTTGTATCCTTGATTACTTGGAGTCTGATCAAAGTTTGAAACTTTGCGTGATTAAATCTCAAAACAAAAATATAAACAAACCAAAAATATTATTGAAATATAACTTTATCTGATGTAATTAAAAGGAAACATGTTTCTCAGAATGAGGAAATGCATTGGTTTTTAAAAGTAGAATTACAGCTTTATCAAAATAATATCATCTGCTTTTAAACACTGAGTGGCGGGTGCATTGGATTTATTATTCTGGGGGAGATTAAATTCATCCCAGTATAAATAGTCATGTAAAATTCAAATCCTGTGCTCAAGATTTAAATAGGAGCTCAGTTAAAGTCTTTGCTGTCATATATTTGCTCCTAGAAAACTTACACTTTCATCTCCCTCTCCAACCCCTGGGAAGAAGACTGAAGGGGGTATGTGGATATTACAGAGTAATAAATCAAACTCTATCCTCTGTAGTTAGTAGCTGTTATAAATGATCTCCCTCATAGCAAAGGGTTCTGCTTGTGATTTAATTTAAATTGCAGAGACTTAAAGAGCATATTATACTGTACATTAACTAGCATTTAACCAAGACATAAAGAGCAGAGTCAACCTAATGAAGATGAATGTTTCAACTCTGTTTGTATCTCAATGAGCTTTTGCCTCACATACAATGATGAGGTTAGAGTTCCGAGACCTCAGTTCTCAGCAGAGATTTGTGGGCTTGATTGAATTAAGGAAATACAGTGCTGTAAAGAAGTTAGGTGATCTCTGTTCTGTGCATTTTCTTCCCAAAAGAGGATGGATAAAGGTTGGAGAAATTACCTGCTATCTCAGTTTTTAAAATATTCTCTGCTTCACAGTATCAGACTGCCTGAAGGCATCCTTTCCAGCAGTCCTGCCCATCTAGTTCTTTTGAGGAGTTTTTTTGCTTTATTTTGACCCTGTTTTGACCAAGAAGCCATTACAGCACTTTTAACGCTAGAATGCCATGGTCTCCTATCAAACTAATCTGTGATACCTAATGGATCTTGCACAGGAAATTGCCAGTTCCTTATTCCGAAGTCCATCCTTACTGCACAATATGCAGTATTTTTACTAGTTGGAAAATCAAGAATCCTAAGGTTGCTCCAAAGCATCATCTTTTATTTTACATTCAGTAGTTAGTGAAACACCAGCGGACGTAAATAGGAAAGCAGCAGAATATTTTGATAAACTTTGCCTTCATAGCCAGAGAAGGTAATTGTCAAAATGAGGAACTTGCACATCTGGGTAAAGATTGGGATTTCTAACCTTTTTCTGATTCATTTTGCAATAGTACTACAGTCAGTTACCTCTGTTATGGAGCAACAAAAACCTACCATGTGGGAGGGGGATACAAAGCTGGGGACAGGAGGGGAAGGAGAAGATATCTTACATTAAATGTGCTTTATTGTTGTCACTGTCTTTGCTCTGAAAGCTCAGAGAATTGCAGAAGTGGCATTGTGGCATGGTGACAAAATGCAATGTTGTATTGGGATGCTGGTATTTGAACTGGCATCCCTGTTCTAGTAAACAACTCATATTTTTCTTTGTGTGAACACATCCTACAGAAAAAGAAGCAAGCTGTAGAAGACGGCAGACAAGATGTTGAGAAGAGCCTGCAGGAAGGGAATCATGTCCTTAATGAAGCCAACAAACTTGCAAATGAAATCAGCTTAGCTGTAGAGGTGAGTGTTTTATCATCGTTATCTGAGAATTAGTACAACAAAGCATCATTATGGAAGGAAAATAGATAATGAAAGTAACACCCAATTTTTCTTTTTATTTATCAATGTTGGAATATTTGATTGGAAGAAATCATTTTTGCATTGCTGTATGGCAGAAAAGCTAATCTGGTATATAAAAATGATTAACTTTGAGATTTAAATGATTCATTGGATTACATAAAGAGCTAGCTTATAATTTTTCATGGACTCTGCCTTCTTTTATAAATACGGTATTGTGATTGCAGTACTGACTTTATCTTTAGAATTGCAGATGCAGCAGACCCATTCACAATCTCACTGTGACTCTGTGATCTAGATGTAGATTTATCTGCACAAAAACTGTGTGTGCATATTAGAAGGAAACTTCAGAAATAATTTGTTGCCTGTGGCAACAATTTTAAGTCTAGATAGATCAGGGAGAGGAGAAGATTGCACTCTCATTTTACATAACGTTTTTGAAAATTCTGCCTTAAAATTTTTATCATCAGAGTTTGAGATCAGTACCTTAGCTACAAAAAAAAAAAAATCTTGAAATATCATTGGTTCTGGATATATTTCCATCTTGCATTGAAAATTGTTATAATGAATGGAAAAATGCCTTTTGGAGAAATGGGAAAGTGGAAACACTTTGAGACGGCTTATTGGAACTGGAATGGCGGGTCTTCAAAAAATATAGTTCTACTAAGATACTTTAATAAGCAAGAATACATTGGAGTCACTCAAAGGGTCCTGAAACATGAAACTTCTGTCATTGGTTAGTTATTATTGTGGAGCACGACCACAATTTAGTATAACTATGAATGTATCTACATGTAGGAAAGAAATCCAAATTAGAGTTTATAAGCTTTTAAACTGTGCAGCTCCTTAATTGTAAAATAAAAACTTCTACTAAGCTCAAGAGAGGCAAGTAGCTCTTGGAATATTGTCTTGTCTCCCCTCTGCTCTCCAGTCCAGCCATTCCTTTATTCTTTCCATATTAGTTCTCCGAAGTCTTACTGCATGGGGACGTTATATGTGAGATAATACCTCGCAAGGAAAATATATATATATAAAGGGCTACAGAATGCTTGCATTCAGCCACTTAAAGGCCTTTCTTTTGTCATTTTCAGTATGTAGAAGGCGTTGCAGATAAGACACAGCCAATGTCTGATCAGCTGAAGGATAAAATAGATGACTTATCACAAGAAATTCATGACAGGATGCTTCCCGAAAAGGTGTTGCAAGCTGAGAACCATGCAGCCCAGCTGAATGAATCGTCTGCAATATTGGATGGGTAAGGCAGCCGTTCATTGGTAATAATAAAATCATAAAGCAGGTTCGTAAAATTGCTTGACAGAAGTTGAAGAGCATTATTCTTAGACTTTGACATCTGTCACTGGGAGTATACAAATAACCAGTGTTCAATATGAGTATACAACTATCCAGTATGTTAATTTGTGTGTGTATCTCTTGTAAACCATTTCATACATCTTGTGATGCTTATAGGCTGCATTACCTGCAAACAGTGCCCTCAGACGCACTCTTAACACAGTTTAACTTACTGTGCTTACTGCTATGTTTTTGTAAAAAAAAATTGAACTTTGTCTTTCAGAGCCCACTATGTGTTTTCATAAACATTTGTTAAAAACAAGCAGTATTTTTATTTTTAAGATGACCATTTTGGTCACCCTTATCATGGTGCTAATTTGTTTACTGTCAGAAATCCCCCCTAGTGACAGCCAGTAATCCCTCTAGTGGTTTCAAAATACTCTCCCAAAATGAGTACATGTCATGGGCCAAAATGCTTAAACATAAGTACATAAACTTCAGTTTCTATTTACCACTATCACATTCCTAAATGTAAGTAAGAACTGCAGTGCCCTTGGTTTATATGACCACAGCCCTTTCAGAAGTATGATACTTTATAACTCATCATTAATATAGTTTCCTGGAAAGAATAGAAGGTAATGGGGTTTTTTTGTTTTGTTTTGGGTTTGTTGGGGTTTTTTGAGGGAGGAAGAGAGGGAGTGTCTTTTGTTTTACTGCGTTTTTTGCATTTAAGAAAGCAAGCCATAAATAGTAAGTGTAATTTGCAAAAGTAATACTCAGAAATAGATCATGGGAATTCTGCCTCTTGGACCTGTCCCCAGCATAGCTTCAGAGTTTTATTTTCTCAAAAGCACTGCATGAATAAAAAAGAGATATTATTTTTTTAACATCAACAATATGCTCCTTTTTTGCTGCTTAACATCTTTTAGATCTACCTGAAGACTTTAATATCCCAAAGACTTGTGAAGAGACACTTAACACATTTTTCTTGCCAGCACCTGTAATCTTGAGGAAAAGGCACAGAATTATCTCTGATAAAGTGTCTGATACTTGTAAAATTACTGGCTTCATATACAGTGTCGTCACACTGCTCTAGATATTCAGTTTAATTTATGTTTTGAGGAGTACATAAAAGAATGATAGCTGTGGTTTCCGAAGTAAAAAGGATTTGAAGGGCACTGTTTCTAGAAAAATGTGGCTTTTGTAAACGGTATGTGCACTGTCTGATTAGGACATGGTCAGGTTTTTTGTGCATCTCCGGGCCTAAAGTAGGTGACTAGTGTCACATCCAACCACAGTACTGAATTTGGATATAAATATCCAAATACATGGAAAGTTGGCATGGAGGAACTAAGTAGTAGAGAAAATGTAGACAGAAAATAATATTTTGCCTCCTTTATGAAATGTTGGCAAGACGTATTTTGAGACAGAGGTTTTTAACTATGCTAAAAGACTTTTTTTATGGGTGTGTGCATGTGCTTCTGTCTTAACGTAGGTTGACAGCTTAGCCTTAGGGAGCTTAGGGTAGTGTTTAAAGTCACATTCACTGTGGTATAGCAGTACCATGTATACTTCTGTCTGATCCAAATATCAACCTCAGTTTCTCAAAATATACTATAAAAAAAAATGCAGAATCAAGGACATTAAAAATTATATCTAAAAGCACACTGTTCAAAATTAAAATTTCTAATGTGTTCAGATACATAATTTCAAAGGAGAAAGAAATACCAAGGTGCTATGTCATCCTGCATCAGGATAAAACTCTTTACTTCATGTACTGACTTTAAACAGTCATACTTTACAGGAATATGCAGTCTCTATCTGTCTTAGGAATTCAAAAATTTATCTATCTTCACAACTGGCGCTTGGGTGTCTTTCAGTTAATACTAAATTTGCTGAAAAGTACCATTTTGTCTTACAGGAGAAATTGAGGGAGAGTCCTTTCTCTCCAATTACCCCCTAAGGCTTCAAATAATATATTGATTGATGGTGTGGATGTTCTCTTGAGAGTTAGAACATGGAACAATTCATGAATTTAACCTAGAAAAAATGGTTATTTTTCCTGTATACAAGGAAGTATTAGTATAGGCTTCTCCCTTATGGGTAATCGCCTGCTGATGAGTAAATATTGTTGGTATTTGGCAAATTCAGTTCAGTTCCCTCTTAACCAGAAGGGATTTGAACCATATTTCTAAGCAGTATACTTGAGCTACTAGCTAAATAGCTATTCTGGGCTGCGCATTTCTCTAACAGAGCATCACAAAAACTTGTTATAGCCTAGTGAGCTCCATCTGTAGTTGAGGAAGGAGATATGCTTTTCCAGGAGTGATGCAGAGGCAGCTCAGTCATGCTGTTTCTGCAGTAGCCTAAAGGGAATCACTCTCCCTCTATTAACTACATGTGGAGTCCAGGGAGTATACCTTCCGTCCCCTTTGTCTTTCCTGTTGCATTTTGTAGAAATCATTAAATACTCATTGAAGCGAGGATTGGAGCCCAGCTGTCCCCAGAGAATAGGTTAATTACTAGGTTAGAGAATGAATTTCTCTTTTTTCCACACACACTGTCTCAATGACTAAGTATTTTATACAAGCTGGAACAGGTCCAGCAGGAGTAATCCCTGCCTCCCTTGTATTGCCATATACCTTGATGGCTAGAACATTTCCCAGAGAGGCAAAAATCCAAGTCCAAATCTGTTCTGTCCAGTTCAAGCAGGGATTTTAGCCCGTTTAGCCTTTATTCAGGAAAAGCATCATAGGCATCAGGCATAATGTATTCTGAGATAGATGTCTTCAAGTTAATTCTGTAGGTGCAGTACTTCTTTGTAGAAAATATTTGAATATATCATACAGACAGAGTGCAGGAAAAGTGATTTCTCCAGCCTAGCTGAGCTCCAGTCCATGCACTAGGAAATGTTATTTGTTTATAATTACCTTTTAATCTAATTACAATTACTAGAATGGAGTATTTCATGTAAATGGAACACCCCATTCAATATGAAGCATTATTGCTTATGTTTTTCATTTTGGTCAGCAAAATTAACATTTAGTATTTGGTTTAGACAGATCTGGTTTAGAGATCTCCTCAAAACCTGGCGTTCTGAGTTTTGCAGCTGGACCAAGAAATCAGTTGTTCATAGATTTTACTTTAAAACATGCCTGTGATGGTCCCCCCATATTCATACAGTGCAAAATTCATTGAGTTGCCTGGCTTAGCACATAATCTATAAACCCACATTATGAATATATGTTATCTGGATTATAGTGTATATAGTATTAAGCCCTACACTATCTTTTCTCAGTGTCTCATCCATTTTTGTCTCACCGAACCTCCTCTTTTAGTGAACGTTGTAGCATTGCTCTCTAAAGAAATGCCTTAGAAATAGCCTTAGAAATACAGGCTGTTGATTTGAAAAAGTAGGGTACTATGTTCTGTTGAGCTCTGATAGCAGGTTTAATGGTGTGTTTACTTTTCCCATCCCAACAGAATCCTTGCTGAAGCCAAAAACCTCTCTTTCAATGCCACACTTGCTTTCAATGCTTATACTAACATCAAGGATTACACAGATGAAGCTGAAAAAGTTGCCAAGGATGCCAAGGCTCTTGCAAATGAAGCTATGCAAGCGGTAAGAAAAATAAGTAAATTGGGAAGGAGGCTTAGATTTTCTGTGGAACTGTGCTACACCTTATCTCAGAGGCATGTTTTGCCATCTTGTGACTTTATTTAGAGACCCCTGCCACCATAGATTCTCGTCTTGAGGTCAGAAAACTATGCCCCTGTCAAAGCTACATGTACCTTCAAACTATATCCCCTTTTGTTCCTAACTCCTGTTCCTTATTTTTCTTTTCCTTTGTGTTTACTATTCTTCCTCCCTCTGTCTTCTGCCTTTCAGTCTCTGTCTATGTCTCAAGCCAACAGCTGCTTCAGGAAAACTTAGTCAGGAGTGTAGGTCATTTGATACTCAATAAAGCTAATTTATATTTAATGAATGTTTTGCACACATCTAAAGAACTCCATACCTTAATTAACTTTTCACCCTCTAGTTCCGCAAAAATGCTCAGAGACACTTCTCTGCACATAGGATGAACTGCGTGCACCTAGCAGAATTCTAGAAATGGAGAATTGTAGGAGGGGAGCAGAAAGTTTTATTCATAGAAACCATACAGCTTCTTTTGTGAACTCTGCCGCTTTTCGCAGAGAAATCTTATTCTCACTATGAGGTACTGCATGCAAATTTTCAGAGGAAATGGAGAGAACTTTTAAAAATAGGATTGTAAAGTAAAGCCAGCTCTCCAGCCTGAGTCATAAAGAGGAACTCGGCTCCTTAATGCGTATACTGTGAGCACAAAACGTTCTGAGCATAACCAGAATTATTTTTATGTCAAATATCAAAGGAGCTAATGGCTAATTTGTGGAAGTCGGTCAGAGAGCCACTGACGTGCACTTCACAGGCACACAGAAACATGAGGAAATGACAGTGTAATATGAAATTGCCAGACCCTATATTTGATACAGAAACAGATAGATGAACAGAAGCAACTTGTAGTTACAGCACTTGTACGTGAATGAAGGTAGCTTGCAGAGAGCTACTTCAGTCAAATGGATTATGAGCATAGCAAAAGCAATCACATGCTGTAAAGGTCTGTATTTAGGAGAGGGATAAAGTGATCTAACCACTGCACAAAAAGGTTAATATTTTTAGGCTGTTTACATTGTCAACTTCTGTTTCAAATAACACTAATTACTATATTTCTCTCTTGATGAAAAAATTTCACCTTATGCATTAGTATGTGCTAGTTCTCTGTAAATAGTTATTTGTTTCACCGGAACTCCTAATTACACTGCAGAAGTAAATAAAGAGCTGTGGATTTATTTTTCTTTTCATTAGGATTTAATACAGATAGCTATCTTTTGCTCCTTTCAGGACTCGCAGTGAGTGAGGCAGGCAGCTGTTTCAAGGACTGAATAGGAAAAAAAGACACATACAGCAGTCAAGAAACAAAGCAAGCAATTACAGTATGGCTACAAAAGATGGTGAACCGGCTGATTATACCATGGAGAGAAAGTGGTTAGATAATTTGAAAGGGATGGAGGTGAAGATGGACAATATGATGTAAATAGAGGCGAGTAGCAAGGAAGGAGATTAAGATATTAATGTGAGGTTTTAAGCATCTCCATTGCATGTATTCATTAGAGGGAGCTTGGGTTTTGTTATGAGCTGTATATGTGTAACACGGATCTAGTTGATGAAGAAAATGGAGGGAGCTGCTGCCTTTTAAATGCAGTTGACGTGATATAGAGTAGAGGTAATCAAATTGCTGCAGAGCAAGGTAGAATTTAAGCATTATTTGGTAAATGATCATGTGAGGATTTCAGGCCAGATTTAAAGAATATGTGAATTGTGGAGTTCAGTCATCATTTCACTATCTATTTTTTTGTTTTTATGCAAAGTCTGTTGAACGTTTGCTCATCCTCAGTGAAGAGCTTAACTGCTAACCAGGTAAATCAGGCTCCCTCTTTCTGCAGGTCCCAAGGAACTTTTAGCTGAGCTTCAGCATGAGAGCAGGAGCGCACCCTCACTCAGGGCTGTCTGGAGCACCGTGGTTCAAGCACTCTCCTAGAAGGTGGCATTTGTGGATTTGAGCCCCCTCAGACTGAGAAGCCCCTAAAAACTGTTTCCCCTTCTGCCTGAGAAGGTGCTCTTTGGGACCCTGTGTAGAAGACAGAGATCATGTCTTTCACCTCCTTTTGAAAGATGGAGCCATGCTCTCTTTTTTATGAGAGCAGTTGTGGGTGCCTATCTTCTGTAAAAGACTGATCTCCAGATGCTAGCAGATAACGGAGAAAAGGGATGAAGCTCACAGGCATCCCTGAGCCTAGCCTTTCCCATTGATCAACTATAATGTTGGGGCAGGGAGAGTAAGGTTTTCCAACAGCAGCAAGCTGGTGCATGAACTAGAGATGGTAGGGACAGGACTGAGTTTTAGATTCTACCCTGTACGTCACTGGAGTGACTAATTTACAAGAACCTTAGTGATATTGCAGTGGTTTTTGTATTTTGGTTTGTAATGGGAAAATGACTTTGTTTTCAAATTAAGCTAATGTTGCTAAAAGCAAGAACGAAAAGATGTTTAAAATCCATCGTGATTACAGGAAGCCTGATAAATGACTGGAAAAAAATGTATTAAAAATACGACAGAAAAATTCCTCCTGAGCTTTTATGATGGATTTGCTCTCCCCTTTAAAAGCAAAATAAATTTATCACAGATGAGAAATCTCTAGCATTCAAGCAGCTTCAACATCCCATTACTTAGCCAAGGCAGTAACTGACTGAAGAGAGGAGTCATATTAACAGATCCAGCTTGCGTCTCACAGATCAGAATCATAGTTTTACAACACATCTTGAAAAAATGTGATTGTTCTAAGGCTTCTTAGAGAGGGCTTATAGGCTAGTAACTGAAACCACAGGTGACAAGTTAGGTGTTTAGGGTCCTAATTCCTTTTTTGCTTTTGACTTTCTTTGTAGTGTTATGTTGGGTGTCTAGGCTTCCTTATGTGGTAATGGCATAAAGCTGCCTAGCCATCCTCCTTGTGAGGATGTCCTGAGGTGCAAACCATTTGTAACATTTTGGAACTTCAGAATGCTCAGCTGTCTTCAGGACTGTTAAAAATGAGAGTAGCCCTAACTCTTGCATGGGTGAAAACTTCCCAGAATATAAGTGTATATGAAAAGAAAAGAATTTAATTTAAGAATCAGGCAGAACTATTTTTTACTGATGTGAATTAGCACTTAGGTCTATAAAATACCTTGTACGTGTGTAAGTTCAAGTGTGTGATCCTCAAAACCATCCCAGTGCATTTACATCCATGCTTGGAGCTGTAGCTCTGCATGAGACCAAAATCACCAACATGCCAGCAGATTTGGGCAACATGGTGCCTACTTCATGTTTACATCCATTCATGAAACCTCAGAAGAAAATCCTGCCTGCAAAGTTCCCAGCAATTCTCAGTCTGATATGTGTTCAGACCATGCCCAGCATGCACTGTTGGGGAGTCTTCACAGAATGCTCTGACTATGGCTGATCTTATTCAAACTTGCAGCCTGTAGCCCATTTCCCTGTTAATGTGATAAGTCAGTGAGTCACGCAATCATCCCTGGGAGATCTAGAGAGATTTCCTCCATCCCAGAAAAGTGCCATAACCCACTGGGCTATGGGCTGAACTGAAATCTTTCTGCCACTCCTGCAGAAGCTGGGCTGTTTGACAAAAAAAGAGTTCAAGATTCATTGAAGTACCAGAGAAAGGAAGACAGAGGGGATGTTCTTCCTAAATTCTTTCCTTATCCAAAATTATCTGCTAATTATCAATTCATAGAGTTTTTCTGTAATTTGATAGATGTTTTTCTTTTGCTGTTAAACTTTGTTAAAATTTTTGCTAACCCATGGGTAGAAAAAAACCAGACCATTAAGGATGATGTATAGTTTCAGTGGCAGCGTTTTGCATTATATTATTGTAACAGCACTTATGCCTCTAAACCACAATTGAGATTGCATTGTTTAGATACATAATGAGATCCCACTTCTGCCACAAGATGCTACAAGCAGTCAGGCTGCACAGAGTTTGCATGGGGAGGGTAGAGGGCATGAAGGAAGGCAGAGGGTGAGGAAGGTACTATTCCCAGGTTATGGATGCTCTGGAAGAGGCAGAACAAATTAGATTCCTGAGACCCTGCAGTTTTCCAATTTATCTTGAATCACAATCTTTTCTTACTTTTTTTTTCTTTTTTACAGCAGGTAAAATTTAGAAAATAATATCAAAGACCCTTGGCTGTCAGTCTTATTAAATCATAAAGGGGTTCATCATGACCCAGACTTGCCACAAGGACACAAACTCACCTCACACAAAGCCAGAAAATGTTTGGTTTTTTCATTATTGACTTCATCATAACTCGACGTCTCATGAGCCACAAGAAAAGCTAGCAAAAAAAGTATGTTTTGCATCAGATGTCTTGATTAATCCTCCCTTTCAGAATTTTTTAAAAATAAATATAAACTAAAGCTTTTAATCAGTACAGGTGTATTTGTCTCTGAAGGGGCTTTTCTAGTATTAACTTTATGCTGAAATCTGTTTCTGACTAATTGTCAACACATGCCCAATTATTGTCCCTGATTTGATGAACTTCTTGGTTTTGCATTGTATTTGCATTTGTAATCTGGCCTTCCAACTTCAATGTATTGAATATAAACTGTTTTAACAGACCATGCCTAGTCATTTAATAATAATAATAATCATTATTTTTTAAGTCCATGGCCACAGAGTGATCAGATGCTGGCTTCTGTTGCCAATGGGAAAAGGAATATAAGAGTATTATCTGATTTGACAGGTGCATCTGCCACAAAATCTGGTCAAAAATTGTTCCTTCAGGAGCGGTCTTTTGCTTAATTGAATAGTTCCCCCCCCCCCCCCTTTTTTTCCCCCCCGAATTTATACATATTTTTCTATTACCTATGCGACTTGTATTATGTGATAAAGAAAATCTGTAAGAAACTAATTTTGTTCATCTTTCGAATGTATAGTTTCTGTTGATGTTGAAAGGAATTTGTGTACACAGCTTAATATTTCAGCTGAGCTTGGAAATACGGCAGTCATGTCAGCCTTACTTCTTAAAATCACCTGGCCTATGATGAAAGCTAAGCATACATATACATCCCCTATGAATACAAGGAATCTTTAATAGCTATATCCCTGTGACATGGCAACATATGCCATGAGATATCCCATAACAAAAAACTTGGTTCTGAATTTTGCAAGTACCCAAAGCATTCCCTAAGTTTTTTAAAAGAAAAAGAAATGGACAAATCCAGCATATGGTTTTTACAGTGTCATCGAAAAACAACAAAGATTCAGTAGGATGCGAAATAGCACCTCTGGGCTTGCTCATTATATAAATAATGAATAGGAATAATAACTGTGTCATTTAATTGACACATAGTTAATTTTTGAGTATATGTATCTGCCCTGGAAAATGAAAAGTAGCTGCTTCCTAATTACATACTAGCTACAAGGCTATGACCCATGACTAATATAGAATGTTATCTGGCTGTCAGGAGTATTCTCAAAGAACTGTATTCAGTATGATGTGTGACCTGAGTTCAGTCTTACAAACTGAACAGTAAGTGGTTCAGAACCTAGAGCATTTCCTACCAGCTGAAAATACTAATCTAATTTAGAAAAATCATTCTATCTCTTGATCAATCTCTGCACTGAAGATTCTTGAATTTAACCACAAAAGTATCTCTGTGGTCGATATTAGAATTTGGATCATCAGATCCAGTCTGGCTTCTAAAGGTACTGTAGCTGCTGTTAGGGAGAAATACTGTATTGCATGGTGGTGTGTCCACAGCTGGAGGGAGAAACCCATGTTCAAGTTGAAATATCTTTTTGTTTATTTATTTGTTTGTTTTGAACAAAGTTTTGCTCCTAGAGTCAAACCTGTTTCTTTAACACTATAAACATTTTCTCTTTTCATTAAAGTCATCATTGGTATTCCAAAGGAGATCTGGCTTCTCATAAAAACAGAAGGAAATTAATTAGAGAAATTTTTTTTTGTCTCTTGTAGACCAATATAACAGCAATGGGATATAATTCAGAGCACACTGATGTTCACTTAAAATTTAGATGACTGTTCACTGACATCATCTTCATATACCTTCTATGACTTCAGACTTTCCTGTATGTATAACAGTGCTTGTTTGTCTACAGACGTCTGGTCCTCAAGGATCATTGAAGGATGGCGCCAAGAGCTCTCTTCAGAAAAGCTTCAGGGTCCTTAATGAAGCCAAGATGTTAGAAAATGATGTTAAAGGTATGTGCAGTATAGGGCGTTCAGGCCCGTTAAATACAAGAAAAACCTTGTGAGACTGCTATGCTTCCAGTATGAAGAAGCCATATCAGTAGAAAAAAGTATAATTCATTATCTGATTTGAAATTGAACAATGTATCAATGAAAAAGATTCTCCTGTTTTGGGTCCGGGCATTATGCAGGGGTGCTTGTCCCCTCTGTCCATTTCTTGGACAGGAAGGCTGGGAAGAATGGAGCCTTGGTCTTCTCTTGATAACTACAGTAAGGGCAAGAGTAAGTGGGGAGGAGAGGGGGATGGAAATACTGGTTCTGATTTACTAAATGCTCTAGCAGAAAATTAGTACAAAAACCAGTCCAGCATTAAATTTTTATTCTTGCCAATACAAAAGCAGGGTTTGCAATGCCAGTCAGAGCTAATACATCTCTTTAGGATGCTTATGGGATTGTGCCAGAAAAGGGAAGCATGGGGAGGTAGAATGAAGATGTTTGCCAGAGAGGAATGGGATGGAATTGCTAAGTGTTTTGTTAAAAAAATGAAACTCTAGAGAAAAATTATTCTTTTCGTGCACACACAAAAAAATATTTCTTTGTTTGTAAAGCATAAATACATGTCTAAATGCAGCTCAAATCATAAAGTTTGTAGATTCCAAACCAAATACCTTGGTTTCCCAGTGAAAAAGAAAACAACTTTAATTTCTATTCAATACTTTCCGCTGGAAAAAAAAAAAGGTATTGAACTATGCTGTTTGGTGAGATATAAAAGCTGATAATTCAGGTCAGACTGTGCTTATAATGTCCTTAATATTTTTTCATCAATAAATGAGAGTATTATTGGTGATACCACAGTGTGAGAAGGTAGGACAGTAGTCAGTATGGACACATATGAGGTGTTTCACGCACACGTGAATAACCAGCTGCAGAAATGCAGGATGAGGAGCAATTGTCTGGGTAGCGCTAGAGAGAAGCACGGATCATGTGCTGGGTAGAGGTGGAAAAGGCAGATGTCACAGCAGAATGCATGAATAGGAGCTCGGCTTTCCAAAACACATGAAACAATCCTTCCACTCTGTTCAGGGTTCCTAGTGCTTTAGCTAAGTTACTGGCTACAGTCCTGGGCACTGAACTTCATGAGAGCTGAGGTGGTTTGCAGAGAGTCCTGAAGACATCATGAAGACTTAATTGGAGATCTAGCAGAGGAGAGATGAGGAAAAAGATTGAAAGAATTTAAATTTGTGTACTAAAAAAGAGACAATTGAATAGGGACTTAATATTCTTCAGTTATGTCAAGGCTTCTCCAAAGAAGATGGGACTAACATATCTCAAATGCACTGATACAGATCACATGTTAGGAAAATCTTCCTTGTAATTAAAATACAGAAACACTGGAATTGATTACTGAGGAGATTAGGAAGATTTGACCTTTGAAAATCTTTGAAAACAGCTTATACAAACATCAGTGAGGAATGACTGTTGGTCAGAAGGAGAAAAATGATCTTTGGACAAACGTCTGTTCTGAGCTTATGATTCAATGATCTTCTGATCATTGCAATCAAAAGCAGTTTATTTCTTGTGTCTTTATGCAGACAGATTGTTTTATAGGTCCTCTAAGAAAATACTTATTGCAGCACTAATGAAGCACCTGTTTAACAGTACTCAACACTTCTTTCTCCACAGCAGTCTTAGAAAGGAATTGAAAAAATAATTCACGTCAACTAAACCTGAGGGGAAATAAGCATGATACAATTATCTCCACTTTCAAGTAGGCCAACATTGAGTTTCACACATCTGCCTTTGTGAAAAATGTTAAACCTTACTGCTTTAATTGCCTTTTTTTTACATATAACAAAGAAAGCAACTTAGGAGCATACAGTGTTTGTGCCACTGATATAGTAACATCTGAGAGGAGTATCAATTAACTGAGTCCTCCATACAACTATTTTGAAGGTCTTTCATCCAAATACTGATTAATAGTTTGATTAGTCTAGACGGAATAAGTTCAAGTTGATAACTTTGTGGTTTATTCCAAATTAGTACACTGTAATACCCTCCCTTTTGTAATTTGAAATTTTGTTGTGTATATTTTGCGAAGCTTGTGTCCAGTCACTGTAGTTTTTGAAAAATTCTTTCACACTAGATACATTATAGTTTAATCTGATTCAATTGGCTGAAGCTGTAATAGGTAACATGGAGTTAACCACAAGGATGGGAAAAGCATAGCACTTGAAAACCTATGTGAGAAAACAGATTTAGGACTTGGAAGAAATAAAGACAAGGAGAGGAAAACAGCTATGATATGATATTTTTTGCTCATCATAGGCTCTGAAAATCAAGCTGGGGTTTGTTTTTTTGATTCATGCATCAGAACTAGAAAAATCACACACATATTCGAGGTTAAGATTTAAACTGCTTGTTACAGAGATGATGCCTGAAGCTTCCCTGTCATGCTAGAGTAGTTAAAGTACTTTCTATTAGAAACAAGACAGATTTTTATAATAGAGCCCTGTGTTTCAGGTTTTAACATATAAAATTTTCATTGGCCTCCTGGGAGATGCATTATGAAAAGCATACAGCATGAAGGGTGAGATCCATGCAACTTATCTTTTGGCTACTACTACACTTTCATTTAGTTTTGGCAGCTCTAGGATTTCCAACTGCCGAACTAGTTAACAAGTAAACATAATATTTAATAAGGTCATAAAGCATAATGTTTCATAAAGTCATTAATTACATTTCACTGTCATACACTGTCTGAAAGTTAAAAACATTATTATTTTCTTGTAGCAGCTCTGAGAAAAAAATGTGTCTGCAGTTACTAGTAAATCTTGGATGTATATTTAGGGTGTTCTTTATTGCAACTCTTTACTGCCAGATTCAGTACAGATTTAGGGCTGGAGGGGCACGTTTCAGTAAATACGTTACAGAAAATCATAAAACTACAAGAGGAGACCAGTGTGCAATTTAAGTAGCGTGGCTGAAGCAGAACGAATAGGGATGCTGTTAGTGTCCCTTTCTGGAATGCAAACTACTGCAGTTTGCCATGGCTAGCATATAGGAAACACTAAAACAGCAGCGCTGCCTCTTCCCTGCCGCAGCGTTCCTCTGAGCAGGCTAGGTGCCACCGTGTGGAGTCCATAGCTTTGTGTGCTCCCCGGGCAGTTATATCAGAGTATTCACGTGTTCCACATGGCACAGCGCCCTGTTTTCAAGGACAAAATAAAATAGTGTCTGTGCTTGGATATATGTCAATTCCATGTGCCCGCAAGACTGTCCAATTTAACCCCAAGAAAAGCTGTAGTACAACCTCAATAAGACATGACTTCAGAGATTTTTGAAAAAAGTATGTTATTCTCCCGTTTTACACCAGTGAGAATTTAAGTTGATAACAGTTTCATAATTCTGAAGCGAAGGTCTAAACAGTCTAAAGATTCATAAAGCAATCCTAATGCAAGCAGGGAGCAGTGATTAAAATGCACGTATTAGATCTCTTGTTTATGTTCTTGCCCCATACTGAAGGGTTATGAGATGGAGCTTTCTTAATGCTCTCTGATATGTCTTAGATTTAAAGTGCTTCATGCAGACAAACATTCTGAACTTTTCCCAGTATGCCTTTTTGCATCTGATAAAACATGACCGTGCTCCACAGCGTGACCCACAGAGATCAGTTAACATTGTGCCCAGAATGCAGATGCATAAGAATAAAATCAATGACAGATTTCTTTTTTTTCCCCACCCCTCTTTTGCTCCAAAGGGGTGATATTATTAGAATTATGAGCATAATCCCTTCTGGATGTCTCGGTGTTTCCAGGATAGAAAGTGAGAGTTGAGTGTAGAACTAATAGAACGATATTTTCTTACGATTCTTACAAAGCCACCCTGTCCAGAGTCTCAACTGGAAGTGCAGGATGGATGATGGGCACTCTATAAAGGTCTGGTAGACAGAAGTAATCATTAGTTTAAAATTTCTCTGTCTGCACTACAGGTAGTACATTAGTTGAAGTAATGAAGACCTGTAAGCCACTCAACCAATATACACTCCAGAAATCCAGGCAGGGCTGTGATGGAGGTGGGAGTATTTTCTTGCTACGTTATGACATTCCCCTGATTTGTGGCCAATTACCCTAGTTATAAAATGGCTGTTAATCATGGAAATGTTTTATATTACCACCAAAAACTGCTGAAACAGTCCTTACAAAGCAAAGCTTCTGACAGAAGCTATTAAAATGGAGATTTAGTAATTTCTCTCTCTGTGGGGCTAGGAGTTAGAAGGAATAACCCTGGTGGGAGAAGCAAAATCTGTATGTAGTGCTCTGGCTAAGGAGGAGTTTTGAAATTTTGGCTACAAATGAATGAATGCTGCTGCTTGCCAGCTTCATTCTCTCTATGCCTCGAGGGATTTTCAGTTTACCAGGAGCAATTTTTCTTCCTTATAATTTTGAATTTACTGTTTTAAAAATATACTTGCCCCAGTGCAGATTTAAGACTATATACAGACTTTGTCAAAACTGATCAATGAAAGGCAAAAATAAGATGTATAAACTCTTCTTCAGCTGGAGACTGGTGTCAGGTAGCTACTGAAATTCAGCTCATGTCATTTCTTTTGCTTGAGAATTGACAAATTGAGGGGGACTTGTCTTGTCTGACAACATGTGAGTATTTTTAGCTAAAACATTTTCTAGAAGATAGGCACAGCTAAATCCCGTGTTTGTATTCTCCTCTGCTTTGTATTTTTGCTGACCTGGCATATTGCATGCAGCAAATTATTGTATTAGTTTGATGACCAATATAATATTCACACAAAAACTGCAGTCAGTGCTGAAAGTAGTCATTTTAAAAAGTTAACCATCATTAGCTGCATTTCTCTAGTTATAGCTCTTTCCCCTGTTTGTTCCTAATGCCAGTTCCTAAGTCTTGCTTGGTTTAGGGGAAAAAAAATTTAGCTTGTGACCCATCTTCCTCTTCATAGGATGAGATTGTGAGGAGCAAGAATGCTGTTTGGAAGAAGCAAAACAAAGATAACAGAGAGGGATGTGTGTAACTGCCAGTTCATTTGTCAGTATCCAATCAATAAAAACAGCTGCATATGTTGCTCCTTGATAGATTTCCACCTTTATTCTGGTTTTGGGGGATATGCATTGGGTAGCATAGCCCTAGGATATCTTCTTGGACAGTTTTGCATGGAAAACTGTATTTGGTCATACTATCATAAGACATCTGTTTCCACTAGCATTGCAATGGTGGCACATCATCAGTAATTAACCAGTGCCATATATGTATGTCATCTGCAGACACTTGTAAATACTTGTCTCTTGTAAAAATAAATCACAGTAATTAACTAAGTTCTTAAGTGAGTTTTTAATGAAACATATGAGTGTAGGGATTTTTTTTTTTTTTTCCATTTGACTTATTTCAGTTTATTCACTTAGAGGAAAAAGGGATGATGCTTTATTCTGTAATGCTGTGTTTAACCATGGAAATATAAACAGAAATTGAAAATCTTTGTTCATGTTAACCAGGCCAGAAGACCTAAAGGTCCTTACCTGCAAAGCCCTTCAGCATCCTGCTTACTCTTTAGGGTTTAATTTCAATGATGCATGAATAGTTTTGTTGATTTGAACAATAAATAGTGCATTGATTGGCATCCTGTGCCATCACCGTGCAGAACTAATCAAATGGAAACAGGATTGAGAGAAATTTCTCAGGATACTCCTTAACCTACACTTTAATGTGAATTGACAGTGCCTGACATCTTTCAGTGCAGACACACTAACTTCTTCCAAATCAAATAAGCTATGTAGTTTGGAAAAACAGATTGTAGCTGCTTGTATTTTGTCTAGTCTCTATGATTAACTGGAGGATCTCAGGCCTTCAAATCATAGAACCAGCATTTTTCATAAATGCTAATAATTAAAGGATGGGGAAGAGCTGAAGTGAAGTCAGTTCAGTTCGTGATTCATACACAAAATTAGCCCAGTGTTTAGTGAAGAGGCCATCTGGATTACAGGATGGGAAGTTACTTCAAAATATAACTTCATGTTAATATCACCGTGCAAAATGAACAATTTCCTTGAAAAGCTGACACGGTCCATAGTATCTCCTCACATCTCTTTGTGTAAGAGCCTCCCTTGGGGCACTTATTTATGGCTTTATTATTGTAATATTTTAAGAAACACAGTTGAAATGTATTTGAGGAATTAAAAGAAAAAATATTAAAACAGGTGGGGTCTCAGTATTCAATTTCAGGGAAACTTCCCTGATTGAAATCCATAAAAATCAGTTTGCTGCTATGGTTACAAAGCTGAAAACAGAAGTCTGGAAACATGATTCTTCAGAAATATAACTGGAGGATAATTAGCATAATGTTGGATCTGGCAGAGTAAAGAGGAGAAAAAGAGATAATTTAAGACTATACAACAAAGTTAGTACACCACCACCGGAAATGAATCAAGTATCTCAGAAATATTAACACATTTTATAAACACTAACATTCCAAAAGGCACCAGAGACACCAAGGAAATATCAGGCAGACCATAATTTCAGAATCAAATGGAGGAAATTAAAACAGTTTTGTTGGTATTACTGCTTAACAAGAAATTAACTAAGATAAAGTCTCAGAGCATTTAAGACCAGAATCTCATGGGTTCATCCTAGTTTAACAACATCACATTACCAGTAGCCTCATTCATCAGTGGAGACAAAACCTGTCATTTAAAAGTAAAGGTGTTTTTGAGGAGAAGGGTGATCTTATGATTTATATGATTCTTCCCACTCTAGTGCTAACTGTGCCTCTTACAGTTCACACAAATGTCCTGTTCCTCTGCAGGACATTTTGCAGGAATGGAGACTTACCTCCAGGCACTCCTGCAGTCCTGTGTCTTGCTCTGATTTAAATAAAGCAAACAGATTTCTTCCTGAATGATATTGCAAAGGGTCTAACAATAAAAGTATGATTCTCATTTAAATTCCATCTGCTATTTCAGTCTTGCTATAGTCTTGGAAAATTTAATTAATGATTTCTTGTAGGTAATATACATTTGGTTTGATTTTTCTCATTACAAATTGCTTCTTGCACCTAGTTTTAAGAAGAATTACATTTTAGAATTTGTGGAACATGAACCACAATCCTTCATTTTAATCCATTATTCTGTTTATTCTCTCACAAAACAATTACAGCCCTGATGCTGTTGGAGATGCTGGAGTACCAATGATACATCTAAATATTGTCCCTTAATAAAAAGAGATGCTTTTTGGTTTTGACAAGTACGTGACTATAATTCACCAAGAAACCTGATCTCAAATGTGTTTTCCTATCCCAGTATCTACTTGGATAAGTATCCAAAAACTAGGTGTTTATTTTCTATAACCTGTCACATATCTGAAGGTCGCAATCATACTTTGTATCCTGAACTCCGTTTCTACAAATTATTCTCCTCTTCCTGCTATCAAGCACAGTGATGCTGAATTAGTTTCCCAATAGGGCGTGCCTTTAAGGTAAGAAATTACCAGCTGTCTCTTCCAAAGAGTTCCATATTGATTTGAAGAAATTGTGAAAAATACCCCCTAAGATAGTCGTTTAAGCACTAACTGGCATTTTCTGTGCCAAACTTTACTTCTAGATTTCGAAATAATGTCTGTTTAAACAGCCATAAAGCTCAGCTGGACTCTCACCTTTGAGAGCTTGAAAAATTATTGCTATGCTGGATACTGTTCAAAAAAACCTCCATAATTTTTATTCAAAGCAACTGCTGAAGAATAGGAACTTACCTGTAAAGGATAACATCAGTTTCATCTGTAATGTACCAAATATGACACACCTGTTGCCTTCGATTGGTACTAGTTCTTCAATTCAAACAAATTCTGAGTTTTATTTACTAGGCGGGCTTTTTCCCAAAAAATTTAGTATGTTTATTTCATAATAACCTGTGGTTAGCGTAGTCTTCTCATATTGACGATCAGTGCTAGGGTGATCTCATGTGTTTTCCTCAGATGTTTTGTCAACATTGGTTATCTTTGAGAAAATCCAAGAGAACTGGGCTCTGGCCAGTTTAATTGCAACAGTAAGCTGACCTAATTGATCTTGCCTCTTTCACACTGTGTTCAATTCATTCATCCCAGACAACCCCCTTAAGAAGAAAACTGCAGTAGTAGCTTAATCTAGGAATCAAAGCTATGACTAAACATCACACTTGTTGAATCTATCAGTGGTTCATTGTGTGAATTTGCATAAATCATAGCATCTGTGATTGTCATTTTTTTCTTTCCTTTGTACACCTTAGGAAAACCCTTGATAAATATACCACAGTACAAGGAACTCGGGCATTTAGATACCATGGAAGTAGGGAACTTAAAGAAATAGAAAATTATCAAAAACTCTACAACCAGTTTTACTGGACTTCCTTATTTACACAATATAATATCTTAATGATAAATGGCTTGCTCATTATTATGCATTTGAAATTATGTGCAAAGAAAGGGTAGTGGAAACAAAGAGTTAAAGCTTCTGTACTATGTACACGTTTTATAGAAAAGGGAGATAACCTGGACAGCATGCAGAACAGGCTGAAAGATGCTGATGAGAAGAATTCCATTCTCCTGAGAGCTCTGAATGAAACCTTTGGAAAGCTGTCAGCCATTCCTAACGGTAAGCTGGAAAAGCGCTGCAACACTTGACTCATACCCGCTCTTTTGTTTCATTTTCCATCACTTAACATCTGCCTGATCAATCTTTGCCTGTGTCCACACTGTGTCCACTTTGACCATTGGCCGCTGTAATAAGACAAAGATGAGCAATGTGAGAGAGAACTGAACTGAAAACAGATACCTGGTATCAGTTTGTATTTTGGCACGGTAAAAGGTACCATGCCGCTGCAGTTTGCAAAACGTTTTGGAAAGAAAAGAGTTATGATATCAGGAATTATGATACAATCTGAGACAAACAGTCTTTTCTTTAAACATGAAAAGTCTTTTTATGAAACTACTGGTTAATGAACCATTATAATTTAACCAGTATAATTTAAGCCAAGAAGAATAAAGACTTACTGACTTTACAGAAAGAGCAGGATGAAATTTGCTGGGTTTTGTCTTACCTTTCTACCACGCTCTCATTGATTTATGCTGCAGTATCGTTTCCAGTCAGTTTGGTGTTGTGTATCTTTTTTAGACTGTAAATTGCTTAGAGCTGGAACAGGCTTTCCTCAATGAACTCTGAAATGCTATGCACGTTCATAATTCTATATAACCAATAGAGATTTTTTAAAAGTCTGATACTCATTAAAATCACAGTGTCCTGGGATGTTAGCTACTTTGTGTTGTGACAGCCAGAGACAGGGAGCTACAACATAGTTTCGTTATAATGGACAGTGATAAACTGAATGTTTGTTTTAGAAAATAAGAAGTTTTTTATCAATGTAATTTGCTACAATCTTTTCTCTCCAAGGAGCACTTTATAAGCTGAAGATATGCCTAAAGAAAATCTATATTCTGTCTGATTTGTGATGGTCTTGAAGGTTCAGACTGCAAGTAAAAACTTGGCATGAAAAACAATTTATTTTCATCTTGCACATTTCTGTGGCTTTAAGATTCCAGATAACTGAAAAGTTTTGGTTTAGATTTAGTGATCCTTGAAATCAGGCATTCACAAAAATGTTTTAATATGTCATGCTCATCTTATGCCACTTCTTGGGTTTTGGCCACAGGTATTGACATGATTGTTTCTCTTCTTGTGCACAGATAGATGTCTCAGTCAAACAAAATGGACCTCTAAGGCCAGTTGACCTTAAGACACAGAATACTAAATATGAAACAAGTAAAAGAAATATGAAATATGCAACCCTTAGCAATGTAATAAACTCTTGTCAGACTAGAGTTACAGGGTGCTTGCTCTTGGGACAAGGACACTTGTATAAACAAGTGCATGTGTATTAAGAATGAAATTCAGAGCAAATAAATGGCATGGATAAGAAAATGCAGTAAATTAGTTGTCCAACAGGGAAATAACCGCTGAGGATGGGGGAGGAAATGACCCTGTCATATATCTTGTTCTTCAAGGATTCAAGAAAGCAGAGAGCAGCTTAAACTAATAATTCTTGTATCCGTGCTATACTAATAGCCAAATAAAAGTATAAAGATTTAAAATGGGATAGATGGGTAGATCACCTTAGGACAAGGACCCACATGTGCAGGGATAGGCATAATTTAAAGTATGGCTGAAAATAAATATAATTTGTGTGACCAATAGAGGGAAGTAACACAGTAACTCCAACTTTCACTCTGCCAGAGAGGTGCATGACCTCTAATAATGGCCTCAAAAAGAGATACTTAGATATGATGAAAAAAGGAGGTGAAAAAAGGCAATCAGAGCTCTCTGTTCTTTCACTTGTCAATACTATTGATGATAATGGTTTATTAAAGGTTCAGTTGTATTTTCAAGGTTCAGTTGTATTTTCAAGGTGCTATTGTATTTTGGGGGCTTTTCAGAGCCAAAACTTCAGAAATAAGAGTGGAGTTGTTTGGAGCATAGGTATGATATATCCTTACTCAAGAAAGTAAAAAGGGTCACGTAGCTCTCCAGTGTGCAGGACAAATCCACCAATTCTCTATGGCCTTAGGAAGCATCACATGCTCCCCAGGCCACAGGCTTGATCGCATCAGATGTTCCACAGAAGGAGAAGGACCTACCTAGGAGACCATTTGGAAACCTATACTGTTGATCCCTTGAAATGGAGCAAATGTCCATGTTTCCCGTGTCTTCACACAGTCATAGAATCAGGAACGTACAATCTGCTTCAAGCAAATGCTGGTATAAACTAACTCTTATCAACTATCTCTTAGTCAGAAACTGAAAGAAAACACAACCTCCTGTGCTTTCCCCACTACTGCAATGCAGTCTGTTAACTTCATGGACTACCACAGGAAGCCCCAGCCAGTATGACAAGTGGCACTATCTCTACATGGTTGTTTCAGAGGTGTCCAAACTTCTGAGCTGCACTCCAAAATTCTCATATGACTGAGGGACATGAGGATGCCTTAGAGAACACAAGGGGAAAGTAATTCCAAGAACAGTTTCACAGGTGGCAGGTGGCAAAGCAGGTTCCTGAGGGTCCCATGACTCCACTGTGATGTGGTGGTAGAATGGGAGTTCACATGGGTTCCCTTGCAAGCTGGAGTGTCCACCGCAACATTTTCTGCTTGCTCACTTCCTCCCATCTGTGGGAATTCAGAAAATTTGGCAGCTCCCTAGCCCAGCACAATCTGTGCTGCTGGCTCGTCACGTGATGTAATCCCGGCATGGCAACAGCACCTCAGGTGCTCAACAGCTGCATGATAAGTTTTAAAGCAATCCGATTTACTAACACGGGATTTGAATAAATGCCTACTTGAATACCTAGCTGTCTGTTTTATCATTTATCAGTAGCAGAATCAAAACCATTCCAGACCTGAATGTTGTCACCCCAAAGATAGAACATTCATTTCCATTTTGCAGGCGGAGAGGTGGGGCAGCATTCGACTAATTGTTTTGCTCAAGGTCACCAAGGATGTCTATGGATGTCTGTGATTAATTCAGTCAATGAACCCTTGGTCTCCTGATTCACAAGATTATTTGTCACAGTTTCAGCTGAAACACATGGAGTTACATTTCTGTACTCTGTACATCAGAACATTGAGTGTCTTATTTCTATTATAAATATCAAATATTATATCTGACACTTGATCAGAGTTTAACCAGTGATTCAACAGCAACAACAAAATTGCACAAAAATTTACCCAATAAAAATTATTTATCCTTTACATGCAAATGGAGCTGGAGCATTTTCTCTTCTTCAAGTGCATTTGATATCTCAAAAAAGACATAAAGGGCCAGATTCTGCAATCCACACTTACAATTAGTAATGTCTTACTACATGTGAAGTAGGAGCTCTCAAAGAACTACACAACACAATTTAAGATGGTAGAATTTTGACCCAACTTTATTTTAAGATGTGTGAAGGAAACTTCTGTACTCTAGGCAATCATTTCATTATCCTTTTCTACCTACAGATACAGCTATAAAGGTACAGGCAGCCAAAGACAAAGCAAGACAAGCCAATGATACTGCAAATGACGTCCTGGCCCAGATTAAAGACCTCAACCAGAATCTCCTGGGCTTGAGAAACAACTACAGTAAACTTGCAGATGACGTGGCGAAAACAAATGCTGTTCTGAAGGATCCTATCAAGAACAGTAAGATCTTTTTTGGTTGTTTGGTGGTGGTTTTTTTCAGTTTGTGGTTTTAATTTCACATCTCAAAATGAAACAGGGACACTCCAGAATTTCACTCACATGGCGTTACTACAGTATGCTGGGATAAAAGGAGTCTCTATCACTTCTATTTTCTGGACTTTATATATAAAAAGAATTTTAAATCTTAAGGACTGCTGCTAGTAGTTGGGAAAAAAGCTAATGTCAGCAGGATGAACATATAGTGGATAGATTTGTTCCACAGACTACTTTTTAAAGTATTTGGGAGGTGAATAATCAAAGATTCTGACTGGCAATTCACCCCTTGATTCAAACAAAATTCCATGCACTAACCCTGTCTTCAGTCAGTCAGATAATCAGTTCTGGGAGAAATGCATGACTTTTTTCATATACATTACTATTTTTGGTAGAACACTGAAGACACTTAAGAAGAAAGAAAAAAAGGAGATTCTGGGAATGGTTTTTTGTATGCTCTTTTTTTTTTTTGACAGTCAATTCTGTTATCAAATGTGACAATTGCTTTAGCATTTTCACTTTGGTTATGATGGATAAAATTCAATTCTAAATTACAACACATTTTATGGTAGATTACTAGAACATTTCATATAGGAGTATACAGCCAGGGCTGACCACAAAACCAGAGTGGCTTTACAAAATTACTGAAGGACTTCTTAGCTAACTTGGGCTCCCCAGATTGTCATCAGCTTGGTGAAGCTGGGCACCTAAAAACATCCAGTTTAGGACGTTGTCATTCTCATTCTATGGACAAATATCCACTTCAAATTGTAGCTGTACCAGTGAAAGAAGTTAATCCCGATGGCCGTTTGTCACTGCCTGCCTATTGCAAGTTCCTGATCCCTCATCAACTGAGGGCTCACATGTGTGTGAGCCCCAGGTATAATCCCCTTCAGGCAGACTGATCCATGCTAGTTTAGACAATATGAAAAGTAGTTATTGATTGAAATAGTGTGGTTAGATTACGGCGGGTTATGGAACAAGCAGATCTGTGAGGTAATGACCTGTGGCAGGGTAGTGATAAACAACTGAAAAGTGGCCTAAAAGCAGTAACGTCTTGGCACTGCTGGATCTAGACTAGGCCATCTGTCCCAGCCCAAGTATTCTAAGACTATGTGTACATTAGCATTTTAGTTGAGATTAGGAGCGATCATTTAGAAGTGAATCTCTTGATTGTTCCCAGTCACCACTATTTGGTTCACATTGAGGAGTGGTCTTAACACTTGCAAACTCTTTCATGTCAGATAAAGCTTAAACTGGAATATGTTCTCCAGAAGTACACTTTTACCGCTCTCTGACTTCTAATGGATACTCAGATTACAGAATGAGATTAAAGTAAAATGCAGAGTAAACCACTCCAAATGTATATAGTGAGTATGTTGGCACTCACGACTACCTGCTAAAGTAGACATAGCCTCTCTTTTATGTCAAAATTCAGGCTCTGAATTCTCATTATACAGATATGCAATATATAAAAGGTAATTTTTCTGGACTAATCCTGTCCCTTAATTTACTTTACATTTGTGTTTAAATCTTCAAAACATTTTCTTACATTATTTTCTGTTTTTTCTCCTTTCTTTGTCTCCGTATCTTGCCTACAGAAATCAGTACGTACATTTTCTTTCTTGCTGCTTTTATTGTGCCTTTTCCAGTAAACAGTAATTCACTGCTTACCACCAAAGCTTCTGCATGGTGCTCTACATTTCACATTCATTGAATAGTTAAGCAGTTACTTTTTGAAGGCTCTTAGATAAAGTGACTTGGTAACTAGTTTCACTTATGTGAAACCTTAAGAAGCATCTTGAAGGTTTGGTATCAGTGTCTGGGTGACTATTCAAAAACTAGATATCCAGACTTTCATGCTTTATCTAATCATTATTATCATCATCTTCATTATTATTTTCATTCAATATACACTCTTCTGGTAAATGCAGGTTTGTCCCTTTCAGTGTCATCCACACAAACTCATACCCTCATGCTAGCGAAGTGTTGCAATCCTTAGATCTGCTGAAGAATTGTCAAAGAGAGGGCATTGTTCACTGGTTGATGTTGAGAGGCAAAAAAGTCATCTGAAGCTTCAAGAAAAAGCAAGAAAAAATATCCTTGTGAAATTACTAAGTTGACCTGAAAAAAAGAAAATATTTGCAGTTTACTGCCACTATTTTTTAATCTGCTTTCAGTACACATACAGAATTTTAAACTTGTGACCAGAATAAAGCCTTTTTCTAGTTGTGGCCATTATAGTTAATTCAAGAATTAGCTTCAAGTTAATTCCCCTGTTTCAGAAATTACTAATGGAAACTAACCAGTTTTCATTAATCTAGCATTTTTCTTCCAAATTTGAGTTTAAAAAAAAAGAAAGTAAATATTTCATTCATAAGTGTATTTTGCTACAGGAAACGTTTTCCATTAGTATCATCCTGACCTGAAGCATAGTTACTGCTTCAAAATCCTGCTTTAACACCACCTGCGTTTGCTACTATTGCTACTTTAACTTGATTCTAAATATTCTTAAATTATCTTGTTCTGTTCAGGTAGCTTCCTGGCCTGTGTGTACCTCATAGTGGCATATACAATCGCCTGAGTATTGTGTATGCAGAATTTTCTCGGATTTTATTATTGCAATATATAATTAATCTCTGACACTATTCTCTAAAACTCTGCCTTGTTCTTTCTCATGAAGTTGCTGATGCAGATTCCAGTATTAAAACCCTAGAAAAGGAAGCAGATCGCCTGCTAGATAAAATCAAGCCAATCAAAGAACTTCAGGATAACTTAGGGAAAAACATTTCTCAGATAAAAGAGCTGATAAACCAAGCTCGGAAGCAAGCCAATTCGGTAAGCCCTCTTTCTCAGTACAATGACCTTTTGAGTATTGATGCGATTTTATTTTCTATTTTTCTATTTCTTTTCCACAGGGTGAATCCTTTCTAATTCTAAACATGTGTAAAGAGAGCAAATAATGGCGTATGATTTCTGAGATAAACAGAGAATATTCTGATGATTTTCACTCTGTGTCTTGTTTCTTCATTTAAAACATGCCCTTGTTAAATGGTTAACGTCTGTAGGAATGTGTCTGGAAAGGTTATTATTTAAGAAGTATTGTGGGTGATAGTACAGCAGAAGAGTCACAACATCATTGATTTTTTGTGAAAACGAAAATGTATTTTTTTGCCTCAGCACTGGTACTAAGCCCCTGATTTCATTTCATAGAACTTATATTACCTGAGAATGACACCATCTCAAACTCACTGAAATTGCTGAGTGTATTTGCTTTTCCCATATTCTTGACTTTCTTTGTCCAGTAGCAGTTCTGAGGACTCGAACTTGAGTTAAGAATATATTTCTAGTCCATTTAATGAGTTTGGAGTCCATCTCCCTGACTCAGTAATATTCTAAACTCGAGGATCAGCTGTTTAATACTAAGGTTATTCAGCTTGTGACCTAATGTAGCAAAGGAAAAAAATTCTTGAAGATGGTACTTAAGAAAACTTCCTGAAAAATGGTTGAAAAAAGGATCTACAGAATATAGGATCCAAGGAAAGAAGTGTATTCCATATACTCGATGAAATTTGCCCGTGATAGAAAGACAGGCTACAGTGATGGTATGGTTTTGTTACATTCTGTCTGAAGGCTTGAAGTACTTAACTGCTCAGCATTTCTGAGATACGGAAATTGTGAGTTTGGTCATATAACGGATCTCCTTTTTGACAAAGTTTGCCCTAAGCATAAGGTGATACCATTATGTACATCTACTCTAATACATAAACTTGTCTAGCTGGAATTGAAATACCATTGTATTGTCATTATGTCTATGCCGGCATTATGAAAACAAACACTATACCGTTTTTATCTGTGCTCAGAGCCTGAGGAAACTAACACACATATTCAAATGCGTATGTCACTCAGCTGTGAAAATGAAATTTAGTTATGGATACCAATTCCATTAGGGGCTATGTAAAAGCAGTGATAGACACAACTGTTGGTTTAAAAATAATTGTTAAAAGGTGTCTTAAATTGGCATAATCAAAGGTATTACAAGGAAAAAATAGATCATCCTGTCTACCCGATAGCAATGTGCTATGATCCCTTCAGGAGTGCTGCTTATTTTTCTAGCTGCACATTCTACTTATAGATTATTTCTGCTGCTAGCATTCTACTGCTGCTTGTGTTAGACCAGTGTATATTCTAGCTAATTTTAATCCATACAGTTCGTCCTTTCAAATCTGAGTGCCAGAAAGAGTTTTACTTCCTTTTAATAAACAATCCCAGAAAGAAAATTCCATTTTTACCTCCTGTGCATAGCCAAGCAACTCCCTGGTACATGTAACACAGAAATGGGACGGAAGAAAAAAAAGTATAATATTCTTATAATTATTTGGAAGCATCTAAAGTTATTTCTGAAATAATAAGCAGTAAACTGAATTCTTTCTGCTCTGCTTTTTTTGAAGATCAAAGTGTCCGTGTCCTCTGGAGGCAATTGTATTCGCACGTACAGACCAGAAATAAAGAAGGGAACATACAACACCGTCATTGTCAATGTGAAGACTGTAGTTGCTGACAATCTGCTTTTTTACCTTGGAAGTGCCAAGTTTGTAAGTCTGTCTCCTGCTTTTCATGTCAGGGTTGCTCGATCAAATCAGACTACTGACAAATACAGAAGATGAGAAAGGCTTTTTTTTCCTCCTAGAGGCTTCAAAGCAATAGTAGAGGGCCTAAGATAATCTAGACATTTACTGTCTTTGGTATTAATATAAAGACTTTTAAAATATGACCAGCAAATAATTTTTTATATTTTTTTATTTTAACTAGATAGGAAATGGGAGACTTGTACATTAGAGCTTTAAAATTCACAGTGCAACCAGGGTAATTTTTGTGTTGGTTGTGGGTTTTCCCTTGGGAATGAAGTAGCTAATCATCTTGCACCTGTCAAAGCTCCTATTTATTGTAATTTTAAGTCAAGACTACAATTGCAAGCATAATAATGATGAATGATTCAGTTTCCCATGAGCCCTATAGCAGACAGACTTCTAGAATAATCAATAATAATTCAGTAAATGGGAAAAGCATTCTAACATTTTGAACTATATATTTTATTTACCTAATACAAAATGAAGAGGCTAGTTGGCATCATGTATTACCCTAAAATCCTGACATCTTTCTGCCATCCAATGGATGTTTTATAAACAAAGTTACTTTGAGTTAAATCCTTCTCTTGATGGCTACAATGTTAATATTTCTGTAAGTTTAGCAGCCATTTACAGCATATCACTGACAAAAGTAATTTGCCATCTTTGGCTTAAGATTCCTTGTTTGAACCAACAAAAGCAGGAAAAAGAGAATCTCATTTTAAATCACTGTGAGAATTAATGTTCATACTTTGCTGTCGATATGCGGTTTTCTGATGCCTCATTAGACCTTCTGAAATGTGAGGAGTTCTGGAAAACTTCCTTTAATTAAAGTATGAGATTGCTTCTTTTTTCATATTTTACATGTAGACTGACTTCTTGGCCATAGAGATGCGCAAAGGCAAGGTGAGCTTCCTGTGGGATGTGGGATCTGGTGTTGGACGGGTAGAGTATCCAGATCTGACCATTGATGATGGGTTTTGGTACCGGATTGAAGCCTCTAGGCAAGTATATATTTAACTTCCAAGATTTGGTTCCTAAAGAAAAAATGGCTAAATTTAACAAGTTCTCCTTTTAATCCGCTGTCCTCAAGTTGGCATACCTCAGGTTTACATGGAAATGTTTGCTACATTTGAAACATCGACTTTTTAAAAAAAGATGATGTTCTAAATATGAGAAATTCTAGTCTGGTTTAACAAAAGCTTTTGAACCTACGTCCAATAATACCAAAAGTGTATGCACTACAATTACTATTGAAATGTGAATTGTTCTATGTCAAGAATTTATTTTCATCACGTATTTCCCCTCTAGCATCAACAATCTATGACTGCTTATATTCCCTTTTGTTTATCTATCACTCTATCGATTCTCTTCTTCTACTAGCTTCCTTTTAAAATCAGTTACAGGTTTTGGCACTCAAGCAGATAACGATTATTCTCCTTGAATTTCAAAGAGGAGCAGCTTTTCTGAATTTCTGGTCTTGATACAGTACTGCAAATGAATGGTCTGTCATACACCAGTATCTTGATTCTTACTCAAAACACCATTTCCATAGGCAGAATGTCTCTTCAAACTGGAGATATTTAAAAAGATATATGAACAGTTTATGAAAACTCAAGGATGAAATATTCTGGAAAGTTAAACTATACTTTGTAATTTGAGATCAGCTGTTGAATGCTTTTGAACTTTAAAAATATACATACCTTAATATTCAAATTCCACATTTGTTAGTTGAAGGTTGTATTTTCCATTCAAATAGCAAACACATGACATATGGTGTAGTAATTACAGCATAAGGATTACATAACTTTATATCCTTTATCTTCTACTACTGAAGAGATCTTAGTAATTTAGATAACATCATCTATATTGCAATTTGATGTGAAGCTGAGTAATTCCTCCTGCATCATTATAGTTAATTTCACATAGTATTAAATGTAGAACCGATAATACAGTCAGAAAATGAGAGAAAGAAGGAGAAAGAAAACAAAGCACTCTAATTCTGATTACATTCATAGCTCTCAGAGGAGGAAATGGCATCCAGTTTAAATAATTTAGTGAAATCACAGAAATCAGCCATTCAGAGCAGAGAATTAAATGAAATTACGGCACCGTCTCCAGAAGCTGGCTTAATGAAACCTAATTGCTAGGAAAATACAAACTGGGGTACGATACGAATTGTTGAAGTCTTCACTAGTTCATATTATGCATACTAAAATAGTTTCGTGACACAGTAATGCCAGTCTTTCATTTACAAGAAAGCTGCTTCAGCAGAATATGGAGCCAGGACATGGTATAAGAATTCGCACATCCTACAAAAGCACATTGCCTATTAAGCTCGTTGTTCTGGATATATAAGGTGTGCATGCCATTAGTTTTGAACAAACTGCTGGATCAGCAATTTAGAACAATTACAGCTGCACAAATCTGAAGTACAGAGTGGTGTTTAGGAGAATTACATTGCAGAGACATTAGTTGGATTTGTGGGATTAAGATGAAGAGCTGGACTGATTTTGCATTCTTAAGGCAGACTTCATAAATCACGTACCCTACTGAAGATTCTTCAGCTTGGAACATTTCAGTCCATTTGATAACTCTCCTCTGACTCCCTTCATAAGCTGTTGGAGAGTTTTACTCATTTCATTCCCTCACCTTTTTTCTCCAAATTTCTGCTGAGTTGCAGCCACAGACTTTTTCAACAACCTGACAGCGCTGCCTGAACAGCTGGAGCAGGGCATCCATTTAGAATGGGGACATAAGGTGAAATTCTGGCCTTGCTGAATTTTGCCATAGATTTCAGTGGTGACAGGCATTGACACCACAATAATAATGATATGGTAGGTTTAAAGGTTGATAGCAGTTCTTAATCAAGGATCCCAAAGGACCTTAAAAAGAGGAGGTGTGGTGGCACAGAGGTTGTGAAATTCTCAAGGTCACTCAGCATACTGAATGAAATCTAAATATGAAAAAGCTGATCAGAGATGTTCAGTTCCGTTAACATCTATGCCAAAATTTTCAGTGTGTTAAGACTAAATTGATAATTACTGCATCTGTTTTCCAGGGACACTTTTAATTTTCATCATCTTTTTATTTAAAGCATACTAATACTTTGCATTTTATTGTATATGCAGAGGAAATACTTTATCATGGAAATATTTTAATTTTTCTTTATGGAATTGAAGTAAAATTTGTTTATTCCTGTAGGAATTCCTATAGGAATTCCCTATACTTTGATGGTGCGGGAATTTAACAAATGTCACCTACAGAGTTACTTACCTGCTTACAGAGGCAAATCTGATTGGCATCAAGAACGGCAATCAATCAAAGTATCAATTACAAAGGAAAATCTGGCATAACAGTATGTGACAAAATGATTTAAAGCAGGTTTGCAACATGCAAACAATGTCAATTTTGTGAAACAGTCAAAAGGATGACAGAATATTTTTGAGACTCGCTAGATCAGTGAAACAATGTCACTTGACTTCAGCAGGCCTCCATTAGGAGCAGGACCTGATTAGTTGTGATTTTAATCAAGTGTGATTTAAGTATTACTATTGTTTTAATTGTTAATGACAGAGTTTAAGCAGCACCCTTCCTTTGAGGACAAAGGACACTTGAGTCACAAGTTCACTGTAGACACATCCAGTCCAACTCAGCAAGAATTCAGTTTTAAACTACTGTGGCAAATCTAAGCCATACTGTCCAATGAAGATTTTCTGTGCTCTCAAGGGGTCAAGGAGCAGAGGTTTCTACATGGTATTTTGTAATCTAATGTTGATGACTTGCAAAAGTCATCTCATTTACATCATGCATCTCCTAAAGAGCAAACCCTGCATGCATGGCATTACGTAAATTTTTCGGATGATCATCCACAAAGTACTTGATACGTCTTCTATAATCCACCAATTTTGCAAGAACTGACTATCACTAGAACAATATCTTCTAACCTGATGACTTGTCATGCACAGCATAGCAGTGTCTTTTTGCTGTCAAGTTAGCCAAGTTCTTTCTTCAAGCTCAATTGTCCTCCCTAAATAAGAGAGAATTATTTATGGAAGAGACTCCATTGCTAGCATTTCAGTCTGTTTGAAGATGAAAGACATCCGTGCTATTTGTGGCATATTAGACACCCTAAAAAGTCAGTCTGCTGAGTGACTTCTGCGTTATTGCACTTGGATGTTTTTAAACTGGAATCTTGATTTCAGCACAATATAGATTGAAAGTGCCAATGACTTCCTTTCAGAGAGCATCAAACTTAAGCAGTTTAAAAAAAAGTCTTTAACAACTGTTAGTCTTTCAACAATTACTACATTGAGAATTTTTATCCTTTAAAGGACTTCACATCAATAAACCTTCTGAAAAATATAAAGTAAAAATTTGCAATTTCTGCTGCATAGAAAGCTATCTATTTAGCATTCAGTTGATTTTGGAATAAAAGCTAAAATATTGTCATTAAAAGGAAATTTAAAAAAAAAAATCCTTTAGAATAACGTGGATGGCTTTAGCCAACTTCTTTAAAATTATTTGGAGCAACTACATGTTCGCATACCCCAGATGTCACTTAGGAGATTCTCTAGGACACTGAGAGTCCCATCCATGTGGCTTCCAGAGCTGCCAGATCAAGGTACAGGTGGGTAATTGAAGAGCTCCGGTGTTTTTTTGCAAATACATATTTTTCACATTGAAAGCCTTGAGATCCTTGACTACAAAGCAGGCAAGATGGCATAGATTTACAAAGGTATTCCCCATTGATTGGAAACCCTCAAAATTACCTTGCAACCCTGCTTCACAGTTCAGGAGAAATTTATCAAAACTGAAATGTCTCAAGTATATCTTTTTTTTTTTTTTTTAATTTAAGTGGCTTTTTTCCAGTTCCATGTTATTCCATAAGAAAACTCTCAACTCATTCTGGTTTTTGGGTAATAGGTTCTGAGCCAAAGGAATTTCTGAAGAGTGTTTTTCAGACATAAAATGCATAGTCTTATAGGACTTTTCCACCCTCTAGAGCCCTGGTCCAGTAAACTTTCTAAATCCAGGAATTCTGTAAGTACAGGATAGCAATGTCTTCATTTAGCTTATTCAGCAGTCTAAGTTATGCAGTCTTTCTTGCTGTGCTCTAAATGTAAGTTCTTCAAGTAAAGCTTTATTTAACAGAAATGACCGTTCTTTCTGAAAGGTATGGTTTTAACTTTTAATTTGCTTGTTACTTCAATACCCCAAGCCAATGTTTTTTTTTAATTTTTCTAATTAGATAAAAGGGAATTTTGCATCTTTGCATGCAGCAAAGTTCAGGACTTTAGAAAACAAAGGTTTGGTTTTTGGGGTTTTTTTATACTTTCTGGCTGTGACTTGTCAGTATCTCGATAGGATGAGTATGTAACTTTTCATCTAGAAAAGCTATATGTGGAAATTTTTGGTGAATTTTATCACCTCTATTTAATCGGCTTCCTTCCTTTCCCTAGAAACCTTTTTCACAAATACAGATTTAAAATCTGTTTTCTGAGAAAAATCTGTTTTGTCTAGCTTGAGAACAGGTACTGTGTAATTTTTAGAGTCTAATCAGGTAGCCAGTCAAATACCACTCATAATCTAAAAAATGCATAGTCACTCTTGATAGGTATACATTCTTTGTAAACTATTACGGAAAAAGAAAGTAAGTTTTATTTAAAATGGTGTATTTCTGCATTAAGTATCAAACATATAAGTTAGAAAAGTTCCATGTAATATTGGTATCCATGCTGAGTGTTTCAGTGCTAGTTAGGGTTGCAAGATCAGGCATCCATGTTAGAAATTTCCAAATTAACATGACAATGGTCATGGGAAATCCACCATCCTATTAAAAATGAGATAAAGCAGCAATTTCCAAAGTTATCCATAAACCTATAGTATGTGATCTCTCTCTGCCTATCTCATCTCGCAGCCACTCCTCCACCACATTACTGAACACACTAGATACTTCATCTGCACGTGACAGGATTTGGGTCACTCTCCATGCTTATTTCTACAATCATATGATGGCCCCATAAGAAATTATGTGTGTTGATTATGGTCCATCTGTCTGGGAGGAAACACTAATTTATGGTGTGACTATAAATGTCTAATAGTTTACTGCTATTTGGTAAGCAGTGAGCTTTTCATGGAAAGCTACTATCCATACTGCTGTAAGCAAAAGTAATATTTAGCAAATTATTGCAAAGGATTCAAAATTATTCAAGTTTCCTTTGAAATACCTTTCTATATACCTGAAAGACTAGGAGGAATCATCTCTCTCCACATTCTATTTCTTCTATTGTAAAAATGTCAGCAAACTCTTACCATGCCAGTTACTACGTTAATATAACCTAAGGAGTAGAAAACAAACCGCTGCAGAAACTATTAACAAATGGTAAATTCTTTTGTTGTTGTTGTTACCATCAATATTTGATATGATTCAGAGGACAATGAGGTAACATCCTTAAACATAATGGGGTTTGTGCCTGTTTGATAAGCAACCAGAGAGCTCCACTGCAGAAAATGCAAACTCTGTGCATCACAGTGGAGCAAATTCAAGTACTTTATCACATGATCATTCATTTCAGTTCAAATATAATCTAATAAACCTTATGCAATTCAGAAATTTAATTTGGAACCTTGCCTGCATCATTTGTTATGTCAAAAACAATTACTTAACGCTAATTTCATCACAATAATTTAAAAAAATGCAATTTCTTTGTTTTAGTCAATGAAAGTTCCACTTCATCTGTATAGTCAATTTTGTTCAAAAAGGACATTGAGGTGAGAAAAAAAATGGTTCTGTGATCATGTCTTTAACTTACGCAGGCATAAGGGTCTATTCATTTGTATCCAAATGGAACATAATCAAATCAGTAATACATGCCTCTATTAAAAGATGCCATCTAAAATAGACTTTTCCTATGTTTGGTTTAACTACTTACTCTGTATGCTTAAATTATTTCGTTAAAATCTCTAGGACTGGGAAAAATGGCACAATATCAGTGCGAGCTCTGGATGGTCCTAAAGCCAGCATTGTGCCAGCCACATTCAGTGCTGTCTCTCCACCTGGATATACCATTCTGGATGTAGATGCTAATGCCATGCTGTTTGTTGGTGGTTTAACTGAAAAAATAAAGGTAATGTCTTGTCTGGTGCTAGTGTATTAACTGGCTATTTATGTGGACAATTTTCGTTATTGCTTACAGGAGAAATAGTAAACTTTAATATGCTGGCGTCATTGTAGCAGGTGCTTTAGTAGCAAATAGTACACCTGCACTCTTGAAAGATTATTAGGATTTGCTTAGACATGTAGGTGCGCAGACCTGAAGTTTCTCTGCCCATGCTGTTAACAACTTCTAATCAGAAGCCTGGTGGCTGGCTGTATTAATGCAGCATTTAGCCCAAACAACTGGTTCCTTCTGGATAGCTGGATGCTTTACCTTGGACATACTGCTGCCCCAACAGGCTTTCAGTATCAGTGACGGGAACTCACTTCTCTTTCCATACATTCCTCGTCTCCTAACAATGTATATAACAATATATATGCCTTTGCATTCGTGGTTTTTTTCTTTGTCATGTACCACAGTATCACTTCCTCCTTTGCAGTCTACTTTTGGCATTTCTGTTTTATTTTCTTGATTTTTCTTCCTGTTTTCCCCCCGTACTACCCCTCTTTTTAACTGCTACCTGCATCAGATCCCTGATCTATTTTCTCCTCTTTTTGCCTGTACATTTTTCTGGTGACTGCTTCTACATTGCTTAACTTAATGGGAATGAATAGAAGATTTATGCCAAATAGAACGGATGGAAATCCTTCAGCAAAAAATGTTCTCCCATAATTAGTAATTAGGATTTGTTTTCCAGTGGAATTCATTACAAAACAATTTAAATGAACTATTTCATTCCTGATCAATATTTTGATTCTTTTTAATGTTAACTTTACAAAAAAATCATCATTTAACATTAAAAAAAAAGCTAACAGTTAGACTTTCCCAAACAGTGAACTCAAAGAACTTTTTTTTACACTAAAGTTTGTATATGTCCTCAAGTGTTGAAATAGCACAAGATTTTATGGTCCAACTTTCTAGTTTTTAGAAAGTTCAACTTTCTAGGTGGTTCTGGTTTGGGAATATGTGGATAGACATATTCCTTTCTTACAAAGAATAGCGTGGGTGCACATTTCCAGACAGACAAAGACAAAATCAGAGGATACAAGAGGAATAGAAAATGTGGATTCCATTTGCTTGAAATCAGTGTCTTGAAGTCCAACTTTAGCTTCAAACATATCCATGTGTTTTGGAGCACAGTCAGGTAACTTCACTTTAGAACTTGATCAGGTTCATAACTCAGGGCTTCTGCACCCAAAAAAAAGCAAGACTGAGCAGACTTGCACAACTGCCAACTGACTTAACTGAGATGTATCTGACTGACAAGCATTCACAGAACAGGAAAAAATTTCATGAGATTTTGGGCTAGGAAACTGAAAGTCAGTCCGTATTAATAGAACTCAGATCTGTGTGCTCCGCTTTATCTAAAATGGATCCAGAAAAAATCACAAACATTTTCAAGTTTTCAAGATGCAGATGCAATGAGTCTTGACATTTTTTGTTGAACTTTAAGGGTGTAAATAATTGCCATGCACATTTTTTTATGTCATTTGATTTCATATGGTAAATAGACAAGGAAATCAATTGAAGAATTTCTTGGAGAATTACATCTTAGATAAAGCAGACTTTGTCATCTTTTTCTATGTTCTCCTTACAGCCTTAAAGAGAGGTTCTGGTTTGCTCTCTACCTTCCAGCTTTCTATCTAGAGGCAACTAAAGGTGTTTGCTTTCTTCTGTTAGTCATAAACAAGAACCCTTGAAAAATATTCTAAAATTAATGAATCATCAGTTGCTAAAAGTGATACTGCAAAGATTAGTGACCCTTACAAACCCAGAATGGCCTCACTGGCTTTCTGTACTCTGTCCCTTTGATCTACTTTTTCAAAGGGAATGGAAATAAGCCAGGGAGACTTACTTTATCTCCCACACCTAATAATTCTTCTCAGCTTTCTTTCATTCTTGGATTTTTGCCATGTCAGGTAATTTTTAGTTTCTACTGTTGTTTTCACCAGTAACAAATTTAGTTACATCGGCATTATGTCCTGTTTTTCACTCGCCATAATAACTCAGTGGAATAAACACTCCACTGAGCTGAATCAGGACTGTCCAGGGCTTGCACTGCTGTGTAGCTACAATGACCAAAGGCCCAAACACACACAAGTCCATTAGAGGCTACAGGGTTGTGTCTGCCCACCTGACTAACTGTCAGAGTCTGACTGCAGGCTCAGGAAGACAGACTGGCTCAGGTTAACAATCGTAAGTGCCAGAATTGTGATTAAAAGAACAATTTCATCATTCTGCATTTAGAAAAGCACTTGAGAGTTTGGTTTATGTAATATTTAAATTTCATTGACTCATTTGAGACGCTAGAAAATGTGTGGTCTGGTGGTTTTTGGCTTGTTGTCTTTTGGTGATTCCCCGAAGGAGTCATGAAACTTCAAACTCAAATGCCAGCCTAAACCCAAACCTTATTTGAATTTTATTTTAGATATCACTTTTGAATTATCAGAAAGCAAGTGGGGCAAGTACTGAAACGTAATAATACCATTTATATTTGCAGAGCTCTAGAACATCAAACCTCCCAGACCAGAGCTTTCACCTGAATTCTATTTCAAAAGAAATGCTTGTTTACATTAAGAATCCAGAGAATCAAAGACGATACAGAAATTCAGCAACAGCTGTTCTGTGCTTGCACAGCATAGTCTTGTGCTTAGTCCTAATTTCCACAGCAAAGCTGTTACATTAGACTAATAAAAATGTATGTTTTACTTGATGTCACCTCTAGGTTTAAGTGTTATAAATATTTTATTGTTAAATGAAGAGCTCTTAGTATTACAGCCTGATGGTAGAAAAAGTGATGCAAAGGTGTAAAGAGAGATTTGACCCTTCCTAAAGCGCCACCGAGGTGAAGGGCTCCAGAGCGGA